CGCCTCATCGAAGCTGGAGCAGATGTCGAACTCCAGGACCAGACGCGCTATCGCCAGGGGGCCTTGGAGTCTCCGAAGGGGGTGGGATGCATATCCATCAGCCTTCCCGCCTTGGCCATTTAGGAAAAGGGTTGCAGCAGCAGGTTTCACCCACAACCAGTAGAATCGCGAGAAACAACCTGTTTGTGAATGCGAAAGTTTTTTGTTTGCTTTTGTTTGTAGCCAAGTCAGGTCATGACCGGTATTATCACCAAGTATAGAAGATTTGAAACAAGACCCGACAGTTCTCGACCTCTTTTTGACCACTCAAATGTCTCTCTCCGCGCGCGTCCCGAGGCCGAAGACCTCTCCACTATGCAGCCGAAAATGGCCACGTGGAGGTCCTCGAGCGGCTCTTGGCCGCGAGGGCCACGGTGGAAGCAGAGGATAGGGACGGCCGGGGAGCCCCGGAGCTCGGGACGCGGCCCGAAGGCTGCGGAGACTGCGCCGACTGGATCCAAAGGGATTCACTCCGAGTCACGAGGGTCGGGTGAACCATTTCATGGTGCAAGCTGGGTGATTTATATCGTCACCAGAAAGAACAAGTCTCCATGATAATTGAACCGAAAGAGAGAAAAGAACTGACTGGTATAGTACTTGGGTCTCACGAATTTTGAAGGTGTGCTGGCACTGGTAGTACTTGGATCTTTGTGGCATCCAAACTCCAGAGCAGAGGCTTTGTGTCTTTGACCGCTTCTCATCAACCTGAAACCATGAGATGTGGGGAAAGGTCGTCCGCTTTGACGTGCCCCAAAAAGCCACATGGATCAACGGGATTCAAGAGATGAAGTGTTTTGGGGGATCTGCTTAGGAAGAAGGATGCTTTCAGCATTGGCAGACAGGGAGAAGAATACTGCCGTCAAAGACTGGGTGATTCGCAGAAAGAATAGCACGAACAAGACAAACTTCCAAAGGCCATACGTTTGAAAGCCGTCTATAGGCTGCCCACAACAACCAGAATCATGAGAAACAATGCAGCGCATCCCTGTCTTTCAATGCAAAAGTTACCCCACACGCAAGGTCACTGCTCATCCAACACCTGGCCCCGCAGCAACAGCAAAAAGAAGTCAGCATTAGCTGTGCTAGCGCGCTGATCTTTTTTTTTGTACCGAAGTAGGGTCTTCACTGGTATTTTCACCCAGAATTCTCTAAGAGAAGATGGGACAAAGACCCGGCAGTTCTCGACCTCTTTTTGACCACTCAAATGCCTCTCTCCGCGCGCGTCCCAAGGCTACAGACCTCTCCACCTTGCGGCCTCAAAGGGCCGCGTGGAGGTCCTCGAGCGGCTCTTGGCCGCGAGGGCCACGGTGGAAGCAGAGGATAGGGACGGCCGGGGAGCCCCGGAGCTCGGGACGCGGCCCGAAGGCTGCGGAGACTGCGCCGACTGGATCCAAAGGGAGTCACTCCGAGTCACGAGGGTCGGGTGAAACATGTCATGGTGCAGGCTGGGTCATTTATATCGTCGGAAAGAACAAGTCTCCAAGATATTTAAACCGAAAGAGAGAAAAGAACTGGACATGGCATAGTACTTGGGTCTCATTATTCTTGAAAGTGTACGGTGTACTGGCAGTACTTGGATCTTTGTGGCATCCAAACTCCAGATGCTGCGCAGCAGAGGCTTTGTGTCTCTGACCGCTTTTCATCAACCTGAAACCATGAGATGTGGGGAAAGAGTCCTCAAGAAGTCTGAATAGTGCAAGAAAAGATTAGATACGCGGAGGGACAGTACAAGAAACATTCCGACGAATCAGCTGAAAGACTATAGGCGCCATGGGTTTCTGGTTTTGTTTGTTCAATTCTTCCTAGAAAGAGCACCCCTTACACCTCCACTGCAGATAGGATGATTTGCAGCTTCAGAAAATATTATAGTCATTGTGCTAGCGGTGTTCATTTTTGTTTGTACCAAAGTATAGGGTCTTCACTGATATGTTCACCAGGAGCGCCAAGAGAAGATGGGACAAAGACCCGTCAGTTCTCGACCTTGTCTTGACCACTCAAATGCCTCTCTCCGCGCGCGTCCCGAGGCCAAAGACCTCTCCACCTTGCGGCCTCAAAGGGCCACGTGGAGGTCCTCGAGCGGCTCTTGGCCGCGAAAGCCACGGTGGATGCAGAGGATAAGTACGGCCGGGGAGCCCTGGAGCTCGGGACGTGGCCCGAAGGCTGCGGAGTCTGCGCCGACTGGATCCAAAGGGACTCATTCCGAGTCACGAGGGTCGGGTGAAACATTTCATGGTGCAGGCTGGGCCATTTATATCATCGCCAGAAGAACGAGTCTCCAAATTTTCCAAGATATTTAAACCGAAAGAGAGAAAAGAACTGGACATGGCATAGTACTTGGGCCTCACAAATTTTGAAAGTGTACTGGCACTGGCAGTATACTTGGATCTTTGTGGCATCCAAACTCCAGATGGTGCGCAGAAGAGGCGTTGTGTCTTTGACCGCTTTTGCATATTGCATAAACCATGAGATGTGAGGAAAGGTCGTCCGCTTTGACCTGCCCCGAAAAGCCACATGGATCAACGGGATTGAAGAGATGAAGTGTTTTGGGGGATCTGTTTAGGGAGAAGGATGCTTTCAGCATTGGCAGAAGAATACTAGCGTCAATGATTGGGTGATTCGCAGAAAAAATAGCACGAACAAGACAAACTTCAAAGGCCATATGTTTGAAAGCCGTCCAATGGCAGCCCACAACAACCAGAATCATAAGAAACAATGCAGGGCATCCCTGTCTGTGTTGAATGCGAAAAATACCCCCCACACGCAAGTTCACAGCTCCAACACCTGGCCCCGCAGCAACAGCAAAAAGAAGTCAGCATTAGCTGTGCTAGCGCGCTGATCATTTTTGTTTGTACCGAAGTATAGGGTCTTCACTGGTATTTGCACCAAGGATTCTCCAAGAGAAGATGGGACAAAGACCCGACAGTTCTCGACCTCTTTTTGACCACTCAAATGCTTCTCTCCTCGCGCGCGTCCCGAGGCCACAGACCTCTCCACTTTGCGGCCCACTGGGGCCAGGTGGAGGTCCTCGAGCGGCTCTTGGCCGCGAGGGCCACGGTGGAAGCAGAGAATAAGAACGGCCGGGGAGCCCCGGAGCTCGGGACGCGGCCCGAAGGCTGCGGAGACTGCGCCGACTGGATCCAAAGGGACTCATTCCGAGTCACGAGGGTTGGGTGAAACATTTCATGGTGCAGGCTGGGTCATTTATATCGTCGGAAAGAACAAGTCTCCAAGATATTTGAACCGAATGAGAGAAAAGAATTGACTAGTATAGTACTTGGGTCCCACAAATTTTGAAAGTGTGCTGGCACCTTGGTAGTTCTTGGATCTTTGTGGCAGCGCAATAGCAGAGGCTTTGTGTCGGTGACCGCTTTTCATCAACGTCTGCTTTGACCTGCCCCGAAAAGCCACATGGATCAACGGGATTGAAGAGATGAAGTGTTTTGGGGGATCTGTTTAGGGAGAAGGATGCTTTCAGCATTGGCAGACAGGGAGAAGAATACTAGCGTCAATGATTGGGCGATTGGCAGAAAAAATAGCACGAACAAGACAAACGTCAAAAGGTCATACGTTTGAAAGCCGTCCAATGGCAGCCCACAACAACCAGACTCATGAGAAACAATGCAGGGCATCCCTGTCTGTGTTGAATGCGAAAATTGCC